TTCATAGGGTGAAGCCTGCACCATCCTTTATCTACTTCTTGTTGTTGTTTGTGCCGTCGAGTCGTTTCGACTCATAGCGACCCTATGCACAACAGCCCTAAACCCTGCTCTATCCTGCGCCAACCGCACTGACTCTGACACACCCATCCCGATTACCGCAGTCACTGAATCAATCCACCTCATAGAGGGTCTTCCCCTCCTGCGCTGTCCCTCCACCCTACCAAGCATGATGTCCCTCTCCAAGGACCTGTCTCTCCTTGCAACATGTCCAAAGTATGTCAGACGAAGCCCCAGAATCCTTGCCTCCAAGGAGTAGCCTCGTTTAACCCTCTCCAGAATGAATCTGTTTGTTTTCTTGGCAGTCCATGGTACATTCAATACTCTTCTCCAGCACCACAGCTCAAAGGCATCAATTCTCCTTCTGTCCTCCCTAGTCATTGTCCAACTCTCTGATGCATAACAAGTGATTGCAAAGACCATGGCCTGTATCAGGCGCACCTTAGTCTCCAGAGAGACACTGTTGCTCTTGAGTACTTTAGAGAGGTCGCTAACAGCAGACTTTCCCATCGCAATACGTTTTTTTTCTCTCCTGGCTGTTGGTGCCAAGAGTGTTGACTGTGGAGCCGAGCAAACTGAAGCTGTGAACACTCTCAATCTCTTCGCCATCCATCCTGATGGAGCCAGTTGGTCCAGTGGTGAAAATCTTTGTCTTCTTGACATTGAGCCTCAGTCCACACTGAAGGCTGCAGTCCTTGACCCTCTGCAGCAAGTGCATGAGGTCCTCCTCAGTTTATCTACTTACACAAGAGCTAAAAGGCTCAAGTAGGCAGAAGAATGTCAGTGCAACTGAGAAAGAACAGCCGGAAGTGGAGCTGACCCTTCACATAGATGATATCTTTATGGAGAACAAAACCCAGATCCAGGAACAGATGGATGCCAGGACGTATGGACATCGCCAAGGCATGCCAGACCTACAGACATGGAAAAGACACAAGGGTCTCCCTCTGCCACTGACAGATTCTGTCCCTGTGTCAACCTCATCTCACTTCTAGCCTCCTATTCTGTGAGAGATCATCTGCTGGAGGCATCTTTGGTGTAGTCACACCAGATAATTAGGACAATGTTATTGCTGTTGTTGTTGTGTACCATCAAGGCAGAAACCACCCATAGGTAACCCACCAGCAGGTTTTCAGAGACAGTTAATCACATGGAAGGAAACTGCCCATCCTTCTCCCATGCAGCTGGTGGTTTTGAACTGCATACCTTCAGGATTGCAGCACAGGGTCTTACCACTAGGCCTCCCTAATTATGATTGTTGTTGTTGTTGATTGCCATCGAGTTGGGTACGACTCAGAGTGACTCTATAAACAAAATACCTAATGTCTTTCCATAATTATCGTCATTTCTCGGTGAGCTCTGGTGGCCTAGTGGCAAGAAGCTGCGCTGCAATACCGGAGATGTGAGGTTCGAATCCACCAGATGATCTGCTGAAGGAGGGACAATCTCCTCCTGTACCAGTCAGATCTCATTTGACGGTACACAGATTAAAAAAAAAAATAGTGATAAAAAAAAACTATCGTCATTTCTCCAACTATCACTAATTTTCACCTTAAAATAAACTTGCCAGAGTGAAGGGTCAGGCTGTTTCTGTGTATTACCAAGCTCTCCTTCAGAAAACTTGGCTATGTTAGTCTCCTAACTATACCAAATAAGACCGCATTCATTTTACCAGTCCTTAACCACTGTCCAGTGCACTTTTTTAAAAATGAGGGTGAAAAATAAATTTCAGCTTTGTTTTGCAACCACATTTTCTTACTATGACCAAAATAGCCGAGCTGTTAAGTTTGCAGAATTGTGAGTGAAAGTCAATAGACACATTAGAGAACTCTCCTTACTGGTAGGGAGCTCTTGGGGTGTAGTTTGTAGGGAATTGTGCCATTGACTCAAAAGCAGTTCGAATCTGCCAGGTGCTGTGCGGGAGAGAGATGGACAGCCCCCCTCCCCCCGCTGTGATTGAGACCCTCTGAGAACCCACTGAGGGGTCAGCTCTGAGGTGCCTTCTAGTCTAGAGGAAGAAGAGAGTTAATCACTCAGAGCTATATAAAAATTAATTTCATGTGTATAATAACCTATGCTTCCCTTCACAAAACTAATAACTGAAAATATTGAAAAGTCTCCCTTTAAAATTAATATTTCATTCATGATATTTTAAACATTCAGCAATGTTTCTCATGTATGTACACGTGCAGTGTTGTGGTATAACTTGCAAATACTGGCTTTGTGATTGGCTTATACTCGGTTGATTTTTCTTTTTTTAAAAATTTTTTATTCTTTTTTGTGCATATACCGTCATATCATATCTGACTGGAAGAGGAGGAAATTGTCCCTTCTTCTTCAGCAGAGCATCTGGTGGATTAGAACCACGTTCCTCTGGGATTGCAGTGTAGCTTCTTGTGATTTTTATTTTTTATTACTATTTTTTTATTTTAATGAAAGTTTATGGAGACTTTGGATTTCCATTCATTCATTGTTGCACACTTTCCTTCCTGCCCACCCCTCCCCCCAGTTTGCCTCTCTCATTGAAAAGTAAAAAAAAAAAAATTCTTGTTATACAATTTCCCCTTTCCCCCCTCCAGCCCACTCCAGTAGGTAGTTTTCATTCTGGACTCTTGTCATGACAATAATACCTAATCATACTCCTCATAAACAGTTCTCTCCTCCATCTGTTACAATGTTACAAAATAAACACATTATTTATCCCTCTTCCTTTTCCCCCAACCCTGAGTCAGTCCTGCTTTACAACAGTGGCACCATGCAGTATTTGTCCTTTTTGTGCCTGAGATATTACACTCAGCATCATGTCCTCCAAGGTCACCCATTTTGTATAATATTTAATAAGTTCCTTGTTTTTCAATGCTATATAGTATTCCATTGTGTGAATATACCACAGCTTCTCTATCCATTCCGTTTGTTGATGGGCACTTGGGTTGTTTCCAGCTCTTTGCTATTGTGAACAAAGCAGCAATAAACATGGGTGTGCATATATCTGCCTGGGTGGCAGTTCTGGTTTCTGTAGGGTGTATTTTCTGTAGTGGAATTGCTGGATCAAATAGTATTTCCATTTCCAACTTTTTTGAGAAAGCGCCATACTACCTTCCATTGTGGTTGCACCATTTTACACTCCCACCAACACTGAATGTGGGTTCCAGTTTTTCTGCACTTGGTTGATTTTCATTTATTCTTTTTCTTCTCTGGTACATATATGTATGTATTCAGTAAGAACAAAATGTCTATCCTCCAGTGATTTATTGTAACTATTTCCATTCTGGTCACTCATCGTAATGCATGTTGTTGTTGTTGTTGTTATGTGTCATTGAGTTGCCTGAGACTCATAGCAACCCTACGTACAATGGCCCTAAACCCTGCTCTATCTTTTTTTTTTTATCTTTCTTTTTAATTTATTATTAATTTCAGTAAAAACGTACAGAGACTTTGGGTTTCCATTCATTCATTGTTGCACTTTTCTCCCCTCCTAACCCTCCACCCCAGTACACTAACTACCCTCTTGGAAAAGTAAAAGAAAAATTATTTCATTGTTTTACAAACCCTCCCCCCAGGTCCACTCCACCATGTAACTTCGCTCTAAACTCCTGTCATGACAGAAATACCTAATAACATATCCCTTTTAAATAGTTTTCTTCCTCATCTGTTTCAAGGCAGTATATATTATTGAACCCATCTTTTTCAGTCTCTCCCCAGTCCCAAGGTCAGTCCTGTTTTACAACAGTGGCACCATGTAGTATTTGTCCTTTTGTGACTGAGATACTTTCCTCAGCATAATGTCCTCTAGAATCACCCATTTTGAATAATATTGATGAGTCCCTTGTTTTTCAGTGCAGCATAGTATTCCATTGTGTGAATATACCACAACTTCTCTATTCATTTGTTTGTTGATGGGCACTTAGGTTGTTTCCAACTCCTTGCTATTGTGAACAATGCCACAATAAACATGGGTGTGCATATATCTGCTTGGGTGTCAGTTATGTTCTCTTTGGGGTATATTCCCGGTAGTAGAATTGCTGGGTGAAATGTTATCTCTATTTGTAACTTTTTGAGAAAGCGTCATACCGCCTTCCACAGTGGTTACACCATTCTACACTCCCACCAACAGTGAATAAGGGTTCCAGTTTCTCCACAACCACTCCAGCATTTGTTGCTTTCAACCCTGTTCCATCTTGTATCAACCTTATTGTCTCTGATACACCTTCCCCAGTTACCTCAGTCATTAACTCAATCCATCAGTTTTCTCTTGCACCTCCCTCCACCTTCCTAAGCATGACGTCCCTCTCCAAAACATAGTTAAATAAAAAACCTGTAATGAAACTATACTAGATTGCATATCATCATCTTCATTATTATATGAATTTCCTAGTTAGAAAATTTTGTGGTAAGAGTAAATCCCAAGGTGATTGGACTGGGAGAGCCTGTAAGAGTCAGAAAATCCATTGCCTTTGTTTACTGGTCAAGGAAATGGAAACTGAGACTGGTCATCCAGTTAGAGGATAACCCTTCACCTACAATCTTGACTCTTTAGCCAGCTCCTTCTCAAGCCACGTTGCCTGCCCTTATCATCTCAGAACCAAAGCATTTCAGCGCCAAGCCATCCCCTCAAACCCTTTGCCTCTGCTAAGAAGTGTGTGTCAGAATAAAATTCCTACTGATTCTTTGATTCTCCTTTCTAACTCCAACTTGGCTCAATTTGTGGTAAGAACTGACAAATTGATAAGCCACATAAATCAATTCCCTTTCAGGAACCTGGAATAAGCTCAGTCATTTTGTAACACAGAAACTGCATGTTGCCTCTCCATTCCAAATGAACTTAAACTTCAGCGTTAACAGGCCAGTAGCAAAAATAAATACCAATGGAAGAAACAGGATGGCTCAGAAACACACCATTACTCTTGAAAAATATTCTCTTGTTTATTTTTTTCCCTTACCAGATATCTCTACGCCCTTGGACAGAAGGTTTGGAAAAGGTGGAAAAAGCGTTACTTTGTTCTTGTTCAGGTGAGTTAATTTGGTCATTTTGGCTGTTTTCTTCCTGCTACATAATCATAAAGCAGAGATTCACAAACTTAGTCAGGGCTGCTTTTTGCTCTTACAAATTATTGCCAAAAACCAATTATTTATGTGGACTGTATCATTATTTACTGTAGTGGACATTAAAACTGAGCAGGGGGACACAATCTTACTTGCCCAAACTAAGGAGGACCTTAGGCCTTTGCTGCAGAAGGACAAAGAATGCAGCCTTCAATATGGATTGAAGCTCAACATCAAGAAAACAAAAGATTCTCACCTCTGGGCCAGTTGGCAGCGTCCTGATAGATGGAGAAGAGATTGAGATTGTTAATAGCTTCAGCTTGCTTGGCTCCATAATCAACACTCTTTGCACCAGCAGTCAGGAAATCAGAAGATTAATTGCATTGGGAAAATCTGCTGTCAGGGACCTCTCCAGAGTACTGAAGAGTAATGGTGTTAGTCTGGAGACTAAGGTGCAACTGACCCAGGCCATGGTCTTTGCAATTACTTGATATGCGTAAAAGAGCTGGACAGTGACTAAGGATGATAGAACAATGGCTACCTTTGAGTTGTGTAGAGAAGAGTAGTAAATATACCATGGACTGCTAGGAGAACAAACAGGTCTGTTGTGGAGAGGATGAAACTAGGCTGCTCTTTGGAGGCAAGGATTTTGAAGCTCTGTCTGAAATAATTTTGGCATGTTGCAAGGAGGGACTAGTCCTTGGAGAAGAAGAACATCATTATTGGAAGGGTGGAGGGACATGGCAAGAGAGGAAGACCCTGGATGAGATGAATTGACTCAGTGACAAGAGTAATGACACCCTATAGTGTATCAGAGACAATTAAATTGAGTCAAGATAGAGCAAAGTTCAGAGGATTTGTACATAAGATTGCTGAGGGTCTCAGGCAACTCATCAGCACCTAACAAAAACAACAATAACCTGTATTTACTTCATTTAAATCTTAGTTATCTATTTTTCAGAAGGTTACTTTTTTTATCCCAGTGTAGCATGATAGCTCTAAGACAAGTGAAAAAACAACAACACTCTATCGGAAATAATTTTATCTACATGAAAGATATTCGACCTGTGGATTTTTTCCTGAATAAAAAGTAACTTTCTCTCCTGTCACTGAAACAAGCATTTGGTCTCCAAGTTAATTAAAGATACGTAAATGTTTGTATATTAATGTGTGTGTGTGTGTGTGTGTGTGTGTGTGCGTGTGCGCACGCGCGCACGCGTGCACGCGTGTGTGCGTGTGTCAAGTCTTAAATAAAAGTTCATAAATGTGAATTAATTTACCAATCCTTCCCTGGAGAGCCCACCCAAGGGTCTCGCATTTGCAGTCCTGGATGTTCTATTCCTATCTCACCTAGAAATCATCTTCAGTGGAGGAAGAATTTAAGGCACCCCAGCTAAGCCATCTAAGCCCAGATCTTCCTGAACACTTTTATTGTATCTCTGACTTATAGCTATCTCTCCCACATCTACCTTAATGATACTGGTCATGTTGTTTGTTATGTGCTGTCAAGTCATTTGCAACCCATAGCAACCCTGTGTACAGCAACTCTGAACCCTACCCTGTCCTGAGCCAGTCTCACTAATTCAAGCACACCAACCCCATTACCCCAGTTTCTGTATCAATCTATCTTATCCAGGGTCTTCCTCTTCTGCACCCTTCCAAGCATGATATCCTTCTCCAAGGACCAGTCTCTCCTGGCCATGTGCCCAAAGTATGTGAGACAGAGCTTCAATATCCTAGCCTCCAAGGCAGACTTGGTTTCACGCTCTCTATCAAGTCTTTGCAAAGCATTCAGCTATTTTTTTTTCCCCAGTGAAATGAATAGTTTCTTCTCAGTCATATTTAATGTGTTTAATTAGACCCTCTTTTGTCTATGATTACAATAGCCAATGTTATTGGTCCTCAGCTAGTTTGGGACTCTCAGTAAGCCTAGGGAGCTCCGGTGACCTCATGGCTGCACCGTCATCCCAAAGGCACACTGTTCAAATCCCCCAGCTGCTCAGCCGGAGAAAGATGGGCATTCTCCTCCTGTACAATTAACTAACTGTCTCTGCAAACCAGCCTGAGAGAGGGTAAGCTAGGGGTCGGTTCTGACTTGATGATAAACAAGAGTCATGGTGGGAATGGTCGGAACATGGAGCACATGGGAATGTAGCCCAGTGACAGCAGATGTCAGCATGTCTAGCACATCTGTCATTATCTTTTAAGAAATGAGTGGAAGACGTTCATCTTGAGAACTGGATGCATGATTGTACACCCAAAGAGCTTCTGTAGATTATTTTCATGTGAAAGTCAGACTTTTGTAGATCAGTTTTGAGAGATCAGATGCTTTCTTGCTTCTCACCAGATTGAAGCATCAGCTTGTTTTCCAGTATTGAATTACTGACTCACAAGTCACTGAACAGAGAGTTCTACTTTTATTGTTTGATCGGAAGTGCTTGCTGCAGAAGGTCAGGGACTGCAGCCTTCAATATGGATTGAGGCTCAATATCAAGAAAACAAAGATTCTCACCACTGGACCAATTGGCAGCATCATGATAGATATGGAAGAGATTGGGATTGTTCACAGCTTTAGTTTACTTGGGTCCACAATCAACACTCTTGGCACCAGCAGCCAGAAAACTAAAAGATGTATTGCGATGGGAAAGTCTGCAGTTAGGGACCTCTCTAAAGTACTGAAGAGCAACGATGTCAGTCTGGAGACTAAGGTGCTCCTGATACATGTCATGGTCTTTGCAATCATTTGCTATGCATCAGAGAGCTGGAGAGTGACTAGGGAGGATAGAAGGAGAATTGATGCCTTTGAGCTGTGATACTGGAGAAAAGTATTGAATATACCATGGACTGCTAAGAGAATGAACAGATTTGTCCTGGAGACGGTGAAGCCAGGCTGCTCCTTAGAGGCAAAGATTCTGAAACGTCGTCTGGCATACTTTGGACATGTTGCAAAGAGGGATCAGTCCTTGGAGAAGGACATAATGCGTAGGAGAGTGGAGGGACAGCACAGGAGAGGAAGACCCTCTATAAGGTGGATTGATTCAGTGACTGGGGTAATGGGGGTATGTGTGTCAGAGACAATGAGATTGGCACAGGATAGAGCAGGGTTTCGGGCTGTATACATAGGGTCGCTATGAGTCTCAGGTGACTTGACGGCACATAACAACAATGACAACAACCATAAGGAAGTTTAGAGAGAAAAGAAGGAATCAGCATAGTTTGAAATTATTATTTGTTTGTATTTTGGGAAGATCATCTATATCTTTGAGGAACTATAGCATCTCCCCAGCAGCAAAACTGTGTGGTTAACATGTTAAAAGGTAAAATGCAATTTCATTCAAAGTAGATAAACCCATATTCTCAGCATTTGGGGGGGGAAAACAACAACACTACTCAACTATAATAAACCCAGATTCCTTCTATCTGAGGTAGCGTATCTTAGAATGTGTGGTCATGTTTTAAGTATTCTGTCGGCACGTATTTATAGGCATATACAGATAATATTCACATGCAGAACCCCAAGCCTGAATGTATTGAGACATACATACCAATACTCTACTTTTTGAAGTTTTAGACACAGTTGCATCTCCCTCTCAATTCGAAACATAATAGGAAAACAAATTGGATGCACACACTTCAGAAATCAAGAAGGGTCTGTATGAAGATGCAACAAGAACAACCCATCGGGAGGAACTGGGCCGTTTTTATTAGTGTTTTTAAAGAGAGCTCTCATTCTGTCTGCACACAGCTTGTGGGTCCATACCTGCAGGCTGCTTTATTGAAAGGTGAAGGAGTCGTTTTTCCGAAGGAGGACAGTGTCCCCCCGCTGTGTCTGTTGCTGCCATCTGCAGAATGGTGCTCTGGTGATAATGTGAATCTCCTCACCACTTGTGAGAGTGTATTAGACCAGTGATAGAGCTGCAGTCTAGCCAGCGGACCAAGAATTTGTGCTCATCAAAATTGATTGAGAGGCAGGTTTGGCCAGCTGCAAAGTCATTGTTCAAAGTGAACACTCGTGGAGCTGCTGAGGTGAAAAGACTTTTCAAAGACTCTTCTCTATAAACATTTAAATCACAGGCAAAAAAAGGGAGAAATGTTAACGTGGGGCTGTTTAGCTTCTAGGTAAGATTACCTTGTGTTTCTGTTCAGACTCAGAAATTGATAGTGTTAGACGCACTGTCATCATGTCTTCTAAGGGGCTTATACTTTTTATTATTGCAGTGCAGGTAAATATTGGTTCACATTGCTTTGGAAAAAAAAGAGTGAGTTTGAAGAATATGCTTGAACTCTCATTGAAATTAACTTACAGATGTTCGCTTGTTTTTTTTATGATTACTCAGTGTTTACAAAGTATTTACTACAACTTTGCTACCTTTTATTTCATTCTAATAAAAGCATTAAATAGCTTTAAGCCTATCTTTCAGATTAAATTTGTCTTTCAGATTAAATTTAAGTAGCTCTTAGTTTCTTTTTCAGAGTTACCCAAGCCAGGTTATTTCTGAATTCTGTATTCGGCAAGCCGCCATTAAAACAGCAGTACATTCAAAGATACTGTATCTTTCAAAGTAAATCCATACATTCCTGGGTCACCCACATAATAATTGTTGTTGTTATGTGCCGTTGAGTCATTTGCGACTCATAGCAATTATTGGATTATTATTTTTAATATTTTCCTGTTTACTCCTCTGAACAAGGCTGTGAGGGTATTTTTGTTATCCCCATTGTACAGATGAGAAAACTGATGTACATTGGGGTTATGTGACTTACGTAGGCAGTCTGCTCTTACTTCCTCTGCCATGTTGCTTTGATAAATTGATGCACACAACTACAGTTCATTTGAAGACAAACAGATAAACGACTACTGACCATGGATCGCCAATTCCATGAGGCACAGGCCAGTTTCTACGATAGAGCTATAAAGAGTTCCCTTAGCGGTCACTTCCTGCCGCTGCCAGCGCTGGGGATGGAAG